CTGCAATAGCTCACCTTTTTGGTCCACTTTACTCCAGAAGGTAGTTGGTTCTTCTCCGGTTGCAGTGGCTCGGCCAATCCTGGTACCAGCCGCCTGAGAAGTTTTCTCTTCAGAGCGACAACCATCTCTTAGAACCTCCTCCTTAGAAGCCCCCACTGTAGACTCACCCTCAGCAGAAAAGCCCTCAGAGTAGCTCAGAAAGATAAACCTTGTGCCTTGGTTGGAGGGTCTGTGAGGGGAAATTTTTGTGTGAGAGAGGGAGCGAATTCGCTCACGGTGGGACGCTTCATAGGAAAGAGCGGCTAGCAGCCACCTGTTCTACCCTGTGAGGGGAGCCTGGGCGATTTGACCCTTGTAGCTCCGTTCTTGAGAGAATGGGTGAGGGAAGAGAAGGAAAATGCGGCTCACCAGAAGTTCTCCCCTGTGGGTTGAAAAGTGGAATTAGGCCCTTTCCTGTTCGAAATCTGGCTCTCTGAGGGGAAATGGCATGGGATGTGGAAGGTCACGGGGACGCGAACTTTTAAGCTAAAAGCAATACGGAAGGCTGCTTGGAGGCGGGAAACAGCGAGGGACACACGTGGAAGTGTTTCTGGCAGTAGATACCCAGAGTGTGAACGCGATCGGAGTCTGGGGAGGAAGCGTCTGCATTGGCTGAAAAGGCCAGCGTCTTGGTGTTTCCTGGTGCCCAAACCTGGGAGCTTTTGCTCACGATTGTGAGTCCAAAAGCTTCACAGAATTCGTGCTGTCGGTAAACGCCTTGCATTCTAGTATAAGCAGTAAAGGTAGCTGGGAACTTCTTTTTGTCAAAACGTTTACATCATGCTGGCTGGGCACAAAAAAGGAAGAGCATTTTAAAACTCTTGCCAATCAAGGCTGAAAATAAGCAGGGTCCGCACACCGTTAGACAGGTCGCTGAGAGAAAGCAGACTCCAGCTTAAAGAGATTATATTTCAGTGTCGTCTTTAAGTACATTTCCCCCCAGGTCACAGTGTGTGCTAAAGGACAATGCTAAGGGGTTGACTTGATTCCTAGCCGATTCCAGGAACCATGTAAAGAGGGGACTATTGAATAGTAAGGAAGGGGGATCTAGAAATAATTCTAAATGGAGGAGAGAAGGAAGGGAGATGAATGGTTTTTGAAAAGCACTGAGCAAGCTGAATTAAGTTATTTGGCTACATTAGCTCCCAAACTTTCTGGCATCAGAACTCTTTTAATTTCTTAAAATTATGGAGGACTCCGAAGATTGGTTCGCATCTCTTTGTATGTAGAGCTATTAATATCTTAGAAAGTGAATTGGACAATTGAAATGTTAATTAAAAAAAAACCTGTTAATGAAAAGTATATTTTCCTAAATGGAAGAAAGTTTTCTGTGTAGAATAGCATTGTTTTGCATAGTTATTTCATATTTGGCTTAATATAAAAGAGCTGGATTTTCATAAATTTTTGAATTCATGCTTAACAATATCTTGATTTGGTTAGTGAGAAAATTTAGTTTAGCCTAGTTGGGTAGTTGAAAAAGGAGGGAACTCTGTACTCTGGCTTACACTTGCAAAACGGTTGATTTCATCTTAAAATCAATGGGATGATTTTTAGTGTTCTAAGGGAACACTTTATTGGCTCTTTTTTTTTTTAAAGATTTATTTATGCATACAGAACTGGGGTACAGGTCAGAGTGCAGAGGCGGTGAGAGAATTCACCAGAGACAAAGTGAGGAGCAGAACAGGCAGATCTTCAGTAACAATGTTGAGGGGAGCAGCTGGTGAGACAGGAGAGGTCTGCTGCACCCTGTGTGTCAGCTCCGGGATGGGGTATTAAACTTGTGCTGCAGTGGCTGCTGCTAGCCTCATAATGCTGAGCTCTGGTTGTGCCACCAGAGAGGGCCCCAATTGATTATTTCTGAATTTTCCCCCCTTCTTTATTCACCCTTCTTTCTTATGTTGAGTGAGTAGGAACTACTTTATTAAACTTTATTTCACTTTGTAGTTGAAGCTTTATTGGATTTCCCTCCCCATTTTCATCTTAGGTTAAAAAAAATAGAAATTAAGATCCCGAATGTTACTGGGTCTTAAGCCCACCTAACAGTGGGTGAGATGAAAATTAGCAGTATTTTATGTATTAACTGTCTTAAAAATTTTTTCATCCTTTGAATTGGATTTCAGTATTCATTATGGAAGAAGATAATTCATCTGAAATAGGAGCAGGGACTTGAATTGTCATAAAGTGACTTCTTGGCAAGCCTTCTTTATTGATCAAGTTTAAGATTTTCTTTAAAAGTAATTTTCTTCATTACATCACCAGTCTAGATTAAGGGGAAGTATTCCACAGTTTTATCCGTTGGTGGAGGCTATAGATACACACTTTGGCCTGGAGAGGTCAGTATAGGTTAGATAATGACCCTGGGAACTTTTGTGTTTTTATGTTGGCTTTTTTTAAAGTTAAGAGGCAAGTCTCTCTTTCTTTTTTTAAAGACTTATTTATTAATGCATACAGAACTGGGGTACAGACCAGAGGTGCAGGGGTGGTGAGAGGCTTCACCAGATTCAGAGTGGAGAAGAGAATAGGCAGATGAATGATGAATGAAGTACACTGCTGAGGGGAGCAGCGGGCAAGATAGGACAAGTCTGCTGTGCCATGTGGGTCACCTGGGGTGGGGGGTGGGATCAAATTCGCACTGAAGTGGCTTTGGGCTAGCTTCTCAGTGCTGCGCTTTAATCTGTTGTGCCACCAGGGAAGGCCTACGTTGACCATTTTAAAATATAAATAATTTAGTGCTTGCTTCAGTGGCACATATAAGTAACGAACTTGCGATAAAAAAAGTGACTTTGAAAGTAGTAATATATAGGCCCTCCCTGGTGGAGCAGTGGGCAAAGCACAACACAGTGAAGCTAACCACAGCAGCTTCAGCACAAGTTGAATCCCCAGCCCCAGAGGTGACCCACATAGTGCAGCAGACCTGTCTCCTGCTGCTCCCCTCAGCAGTGAATTTGAGTCCGTCTTCCTGTTCTGCTCCCCACTCTGTCTCTGGTGAATCCTCTCACCACCCCTGCATGCACTCTGGCCCATACCCCAATTCTGTATGCATAAATCTTTAAAAAAATAAAGTAGCAATATATATTCAAGGACATGAGTTAAGATGGAAGCTAACATTAAGGAAAAGTAGTTGCTGCAGAACATCACATTTGAATATTTACATTTATAGACATCAGAAAGGGAACAGACAATACAAGCTAATTATGAAACACTTTACATTTCAGACATGCTATGGCCAGACTAAGTCAAATTCCTAACACTTTTTGGATTCATCTTGGGATCTAAAGGGAGAAACTCTACATCCTGAACAGCTGAGTGTTTACTATAGCTTAGCCATGTGAGGGTCTTAGAATTTTCAGATTCCTTAAAGAAAGTGTATATAAAACAAAATAGCCATCTTACACTACTTTGAGGAGTCTCTTATTGTAGGATATGGCCTTGAGTTTCAGGTCCACGGCCTTCAAAGCACTGAAAACCAACAGCTAGAAAAAAGGTCACTAAAAAAAAAAAATGGAAGTGTTTTTAGGTGACTTAAGAGACAAAAGACCTAGGTCATCTTGGCTCTGCCATATATTAACAATGAGGCAGTGGGAAAACCACTAAACCTTTCTTTGCATATTTTTTCTTCTAAAAAACGGAGACATGGCACTTTACCACTTGTAAAGCCCTTTCCAGAGATACAATGCTTATTATAATTGCTACAAAAATAAGAATGGCTTATATGCTCTAAACCCAGAAAAAACTGAATATGAGTTATGAGAAGGTTCTGGACTGATAAAACAAAAAGCAATTCCTTTCTAACAACTGGGAAATACTATCAGTAATGGAAAGTTTCTTACTGGAATATTGTGAGATAAGTCTTGACACAAATGGCTTAAAGCTGTGTAGAGATAATGTCAATTTTTTCAGTTTTGGGCATAGCTAGAGTCTCCTCACTCCTACGCCTTCAGTTGTAAGCCTGGTCCTTTTACCCAGAGTACCTAGAAATACAATTTTCCAAATTTCAATGTGTGATATTAATGTGTGCTATATTAAAAGGGTTGTGAAGCTCTGAACTAGACTACTGAATGTAGCACAGGACAGTTAATAGTTCACACTTTAAAATCAGATGGGTTCTAATCCTGATTTTATCACTTACCAGTATCTCTAAATCCCTTTAAGCCTCATTTTCCTCAAAATGTAAAATGGTGTCTATTTCATGGATTTATTGTGAGAATTAAAAGAATGACATGGAAAGGATAAAGAATACAGTCAGTGCTCAGTAAGTATTGTACATTATTGTTAGTCACAGCTTTGGTAGTAAAAACAAAACATTGATATAGTATACAACATCTGTGAGTAAATAACTATAGATGAACTATGATATAAAGATGCTAGATTCTTATGATTAGCTTCTGTGGGGACCTCTACTGGTTACCAAGTATTTCTGAATCTACAATAGAGATGACTAGAATCCAGCACATTGAGAAATTTATTGGGCTAGAAGATAAATAAAAGGAAAAAATATGTGTGTGTGTACACGCACACGTTATATATTATAGTGATGTTTAAAAAAGGGGTTTTCTATGCATAGGAACCAAATTAGGTCAGAATTTTGAAATTATTTGTTTTAATTGTTACTAGCTGAAGAAAACTCTTTAACTTATAAGACTGTCTGTGCACTACTACCCCTACTCTCTTAATATATATTTTTCTATCACTACCATTATTATTTCTACCTATTTACAAGTACCTATCTCAAGTTAGAAGTGGTTTGGCACATACAACTCTTAGATAATTATTGCTAATCTTTTAAAACAGTAATTTTATTAACCTCTGGTACCTGTTGTCACTGCTGAGGAGGTAGAAATGTAGTAAAGAAGGCAGAAAGTTTAGGAATCCCAGGCAAAGAGATCTTGTCAGTTTAAAGTCATAACCAGAGTCATAACTGCTAATTTATTTTTTGTGACAGAGGCACGCTTTTGAGTTGAATGATGACAACATTGCAGAGTAAAGAAGGTGAGTCTAAAATGAGGTATTTACTTTGTATATGTTTTTCATTTTTCCCTTTTTTCTTAGCCTTTGGTCATCTGAATACTCTTCCCTTCAAAGGGCAACTCAGTTTACATATAGCTGTACTCACTCTTTAAAAGTTACTACTTTTTGGCCCTCCCTGGTGGTGCAATGGGTAAAGCATAGCATTGTAAGTGAACCACATCCCCTTCAACACGAGTTCAAACCCAGCCCCTGCCATGATTTACATGGTGCAGCAGACCTCTACTGACCCACTTGCTGCTCCCCTCAGCAGTGCATGTCATCAGTCTGCCTGTTCTGCTCCCCATTCTGTCTAAGGTGAATCTTCTTATCATGCCTACACTCCAGTTCTGTATGCATAAATAAATAAATCTTATAAATAAAAGTTACTTGGCCCTCCCTGGTGGCTCAGCGGGTTAAAGCACAGCACTGAGAAGCTAAGGCCACTTCCACATGAGTTCGATTCCCGCCTGCCCCGGAGGTGACCACATGCCGTGACAGACCTCTCCTGTCCCGCCCACTGCTCCCCTCAGCAGTGTACTTTGTCGATCTGCCTGTTCTGCTCCCCACTCTTTCTCTGGTGAATCCTCTCGCCGCCCCTGAGCCTCTGGCCTGTACCCCAGTTCTGTATGCACAAATAAATAAATCTTTAAAAAAATAATAAAAATAAAAATTACTTAATAAAATTACTATTTTTCTAGTCACTTTGAGGGAAATATATCACTTAGGAAGGAATATGTATGAACTCAGTGGGAAAGAAAAAACAGTAAGTATTTATAACATAAATTTCAACATGGTAAATGTCATCAAAGCACAAATGTTATGGAAACACAGAAGAAGAGCCATTATTTATGGCTAGCTGGATGATTGAATCACTTACAGAATTTTTTGGGTGGCAGGCTACTTTTAATTTTCTGTAGAGTTTGTCAAATATAAAATTTCAAATTAAGCTTCTTGTATGCTTTTTAAAAAAAGGTTTATTTACTTACGCACACAGAACTGGGGTACAGGCCAGAAGTTTAGGGGCAATGAGAGGATTCACCAGAGACAGAGTAGGGAGCTAAATAGGCAGACTGATGAAGTACACTGCTGAGGGGAGCGGTGTGCAAGACAGGAGAGGTCTGCTACGCCATGTGGGTGGGGGGTTTAACTCATGCTGTAGCTGCTATGGCCAACTTTGTAGTGCTGTGCGTTAACCCGTTGCACCACCAAGGAGGGCCCACATATTTGTAATTTTTGATGTACTTAGTGATTCATAAACCTTATAGTACATCAGAATCTACTGACTAGATAGCTTTGTAAAGTTACAGATTCTTGACCATTACTCTATTTTATGAGTATTAAGGTAGGAGGGTAGGTAAGGAGAGGCCTACATCTGAATTTGTTAAAAGTTCTCTCTAGGCCCTCCTTGGTGGTGCAATGGGTTAGGACACAGCACTGCAAGCTGGTGGCAGCCGCCTCAGTGCCAGTTCGATACCCAGCCCCAGAGGTGACCCACATGGTGCAGCAGACCTCTCCTGCCTCAGGGGCTGCTTGCCTCAGTAGTGTACTTCGTAGATCTGCCTGTTCTGTTCCCCACTCTTTCTCTGGTGAATCCTGTCACTGCCCCTGCATCTCTGACCTGTTCCCCAGTTCTGTATGCATAAATAAACATTTATTTATTTTTATTTTTTAAAGATTTTTAAAAAAAGATTTTATTTGTGCATACAGAACTGGGGTACAGGCCAGAGCTGCAGGGGCAGTGACAGGATTCACCAGAGAAAGAGTGGGGAGCAGAACAGGCAGATAGACAAAGTACACTGCTTAGTGGAGCAATGGGCAAGTCAGGAGAAGTCTGCCGCCCATGTGATCACCTCCGGGGCAGGCAGGAATCCAACTCATGCGGAAGTGATTTTAGCTTCTTAGTGCTGTGCTTTAACCCGCTGCGCCATCAGGGAGGGCCAAATAAATAAATATTTAAAAAAAAATTTCTGTAAAAAAAAGTTCTCTCCAGAAAATCCTGATATGGTGATTTCTGTGTCAGACCCTATGTATTCTTTTTAAAATTAATTTATTTATGCATGGAAGAACAGGTGTAGGCCAGAGGTGCAAGAGATGAGAGGATTCACCAGCGATAGAGGAGGGAGCAGAACAGGTAGATCCAAGAGATGTTTGCTATGCCATAAGTGGGTTAGCTCTCTGGCCAGAGATCCAACTCTGGCTACATCAGTAATGAGACTTATCCTCTATGCCACTAGGAGACCCTTCCCGAGTGTTTTATAAATTTCCATCTGATAATCAATTTTCTTTCAGAATGTGGGAAAGCACCAAAGAAAACCTTTGCCCCACCTGGACAAAAATTGTGTAACCTGATACCCTATAGTTCTAACTCACCTAAAGAGGGCACCCTGGGGATCAATTTCCCAGAGGCAGACACCAAGCCAAATCTGCCAAAGGCCAGCTTAGAGAAGAAGGAGAACGCAACCACCAAGAATGGTCCAAGCAGTGGCCAAGAGAAAAAAGGAAAGACTCAAGACAGCAAGCAAGTGAAGAAGAAGGAAAAGGTATCAGTTCCATTGCTGAGCTCTGGTGGGACAGTTTCTCCTAGAAACCCACCCTAGAAATACAGTTTTTTTATGTTGTGGAAATTCATCCTGTACTCTCAGATTTTTAATTTTTTTTTTTTGTGGCTTCTATTTTCTTTTTAAAGAGGTTAAAGATGTGTTGATGATAGTGTTTCTCAGGAATTACTGGAGTTGTTAGGAACTGAGGTAGCGTGGAGGTGAACATAGAAGTGAAAAGAGACTTTATAAACTTTTATCTTTGGTTTTTGACTCCTTCATTCCAAGGAGATCTGGGATAGAGTTTATGGGGTGCTTAGGTGTGTTGAGTACATTCCTGTAGCCTTGTAAACTTGTTGCCTCATCTAAAGGAGGCTTCACTGTTCAGAGAACAGACTGGGGAAAGATGAGCAGTTTTTCCTCCCTTATTCTTGTCTCTACAGGAAAAATCAAGTCTTACCAATGCAGAATTTGAGGAGATTGTCCAGATTGTGCTACGGAAGTCCCTCCAGGAGTGCTTGGGTATGGTTTACAGTGAGAGAAAAAAAAAAATAGTTTCAGTTAGCGCAGAGACTGTTATCTGAGAGGTAGAGTAAGTTGACAGCTTTCCTTATTTTTTAAGTAAGAAATATTAAATGGGATTTTGAAATATTTTTTAAATCCTTCATCTTTTGTCAATATATAGCTTAACCACCTTAGAGTTAGACTTGTAGAGTAGTAGGTTATATTTATAGATTCTCACTTAGATTTTTAAGGTATAATTTATTTTTTGTATGTTTGCAATCTACTTAGAAAAGATAAATCGTTTTCCTAGTTTTGAAGAACTTAGTTTCCATCTACTCTTGCACATTTTATTTCCAATGCTATTTTAACAAATTCTTAAGATATTTTATTTTTAGAATTAAACTATATAGTGCAAGTCCCGAGACTTTAACTAGACCACTAAGGAGAATGGTCTGGCATTTTTAGTATACTACAACTCATAGAGAAAAGCTGTGAGTACTATTACTCATAGAGAAAAATTTGAGGAACAAATGATATTAAAACACATTACATACAATTTCTGTTATGTACACAAAGCTAGATGAACATTACCTTGTTACTCTAGAATGAGGCAGGTCAAGCTGAAAGGGCTTACTGAAGGATAGATTGTAGTTTTTCCTGAGACTCAAGGTTCTGTGTGACAGAAGTCCAAAGGCTCTTTCAGGTAGCAGTTGGGAGATATTTAATGAAAAGTTATAATTTGGAAATAATTTAATGGTTATTTCCTTCAATTTCTTCTCTGTTTATAGTATTTTGTTTTGAGAGAGATGAGAGCTAGCCTTTATTTTGCAGAGACTTCCTGTGCCCAGCCCATAGTGTATGCCCATGTAGACAAGGAACCAAAAATTGCTGCTTCCACTGATAATGATAATGCTGATGGGTAAGTTCATCCCATTCAGGTAAGTTGATCATGGAATGAACTTAACATTAGCAAATGGTTAGCTATTTGACTATATTCATTTTTCATAATATTATAGATTTCTTTTACTGCAAGGAAGATAACTTTGAGTTGGGAAAATGGGCAAATAGATGGATAAAATGATCTCAGGAGGTTTTAGAGAGCCTAGAATTCTTCTAGCTTCCTTTTATCCTTGGATTTTTTCCCCAAAGGAAGTGTACTACAAACTTCTCCTTTTTAACCTTTTCATTAAAAAATATTATTTTCAGAGTGGGGTTAAAGGTACCTCATATTCTAGAGATTTCAGTCTCTCAGGAAGATGGAATAATCCCTAAGATAAAGACATCTACAGCAGGCCAGCCAGATCCTGTACCCTCTGAGAAGAGATTCAGTAGACCCTCCTTAAGCAAAAGAAAGAAGGAAACTCGTAAGTAGTCAGATATACCATGATAGTTGGCTCAAGAACTTATTCCAAAATTAGGGGCTGGGGGTAGTGGACAAGATGAGAATTTTCAGTCCAAGACTTGAAACTGTTAGGCTTTCACTGGTCCTTAACTGTAAAGAATCTCTTCTTCATCTCCCACCCTACAGTATTTTATTTTATCTTCCTAGAAAATGAGAAAGTGGAGAAAGCCCAAAGTGGACATGAACAAAAACAAAATGACCCATTGGAGACAACAAATCAGGGTCATTGTCAGATCAGGAGCCAACAAAATGGAGAAGGATGTGGTTTTGGTGAGAGCCATGGTTTGTAAAACATACTTGGGTTTGAAAATTAGAGATAAAGGAGAGAAGCAAGGATGTTAGGACATTCTGCAGACTGTAATTTATCTCTCACAGCTACTTATTATGCTATTGAGGAAGAGAGAGAAAGATTTCATTCAGTTATTCATTCATATAGCCCACAGCTGTTGGGTGCTACTGTATATATCAGGCATTTCAGGAGGTGCTGAGTAAATTCAGGGGAAGTGAAGGTAAGCCTGTTGCAGGAGAAGACTTATGAGGAAGATTAGGATGCCCTAAGTATACCTGGAAAAGTTCCCAAGAGAAGATATTGTTCAAGCCAGATTTTTATTAAAGATTTATTTTTTTATGCATTCAAGATCTGGGGTACAGGCCAGAGTTTCAGGGGGTGTGATTGGATTCACCAGAGACAGAGTAGGGGAGCAGAACAGGAAGATCTACTGAGATACACTGCTGAGGGGAGCAGCCAGTAAGAAAGGATAAGTCTACTGTGCCATGTGGGTCAGTATTCTGTTCGAGGGTTGAGCTCATGCTGCAGTGACCATGGATAGCTTCATAGTGCTGGGACTTAACCATCTTGCCACCAGGGAGTCCCTTAAGTCAGATCTTGAAGAATAATCAGGCAAACTAAGGTGGGAATGAGGGTCAGTTATTGGCAGTTATGGAGGATGGCTAATGGTTGTAGCTTTTAGGTATGTTGAGGGTAAAGAGGTTTCAGGGGTGGTAGAAGGCTAGAGGCATGGGAGGACCAATCATAAAGGGCTGTGCATATTAAGGAATTTGGATTTTATTTATTCATTTTTAAAGATTTATTTATGCATACAAGCACTAGAGTACAGGCCAGAGGTGCGGGGAGTGAGAGGATTCACCAGAGACAGAGTCAAGAACAGAAGGCAGATCTACTGAAACACACTGCTGAGGGGAGGAGAAGAGGCCTGTTGTGCCATGTGGGTCACCTCCCTGGCAGAAATTGAACTCATGCTGAGTCTGCAGATACCTTCATAGTGCTGTGCTTTAACCCATTGCACTACCAGGAGAGCCCTGGATTTCATTCTAAAGGTGAAGAGGAACCATTGACATTAAGTAGTAAAGGAAACTTGATAAGTTGTGCATTTTAGAAAACTCAATCTGACACTAGAATGGAAGATAAATTGGAGGGGGCAAGGTTAAACCCTAGAAATAGTGATCCATGCAAGATAGTAGGAGTGAAGAGGAAGAGATAAATTTGAGGTCAAGAAGCAGGAGCAATGTGATATGATTGCCAGTTGGATATGAGAGCTGAGGAAGAGTGAGGTTTCTGATATGATTCTGTTTTCTGTCACGAGTGACTGAAAGAACCATGATCTGTAATGGAAAATATAGAAGAAAATAGCAGGTTTAAGATGATTAATTCAACTTCGAACTCATTAGGGAACATGTGATAAGATTAAGAGTTTAAGAAAGAGGTCTGTGCTGGAGATACAAATTTGGGAGCTGCATCATTGAGAATGGATGAAAATGTCCAAGAAGAATAGGTATAGAGAAAAGGATGATCTTAAAATATGTTTTGGAAGTGAAATTGGCAATACATTGACTATTGGGGGAGGAGTTAGAGAAAGGAGAAAGTATGTCAAAGATGATTGGTTTTTCTGACATAAGCAATTACACAAAAGGAGGAAGAGAAAGGTGGAGAAAGAACAAGTTGTATGATAAGATCAAACATTCCAGTTTGAAGGCATTTAATTTTCTTAAATTTGAGATGTCAAAAGGGGAATCTGGAGCTTACAACAAACACTGATGATCTCTAACTCTTGTTAGGTATGAAAATGGATTTTTAAAAGTTATGGAAATGGATGAGCTTGCTTCAGGAAAATGTGTGGCATGAGAAGACTCAGGAATAAGTCTTTGGAGCCCTAACATTTAGAGATTAGAATGAAAGCCCCAGTAAAGCACACTGAATTGGGACTTTCCAGGAAGGTTGAAGAGGCATGTAGCAGAATGAGGGATCACAACCCAAAGAAACTATTGCTTAAAATATGAGCAGTCACCTGAAATGCTCTTAACATATGTGTGACATCCGTCTTCATTATCATGGAGTTGCATTGTGAATTTCAGTTTGGGAACACTTCAGCTAAATTGTTTGAAAGGACACTGAAGAACTGAATTTTGCTGTTATTTGGGAATTTCCTCCAATCCATAAATATCTAGTTTTATATCATTAGGATGATCCCCCCAATTTTCTCATGGCTGTTCATTATTTTCACAACCAGTCACTTATTTTATTGATTTTTGTTCACTTTTTATGGTGCACAACCCCTGATTCTCTTTTTTTCTAAGATTAGTAGGTCACATCTATAAATATACAAAAACATATCATTTGGCAGTTGTCTTTTCAGACTGGTGTACTCCCAACTCCTCTTTATTTTTCAAAATAAAAGTCATTGAGATGGTCATCCTTAAAATAAGAGATTTTGAAAAAATTCAAATGTGAGTTAACTGATTTTCTACAAGATGATTTTAGTAGAGTTTCTTATATTCAGGCATTTAAGATAAAATTTGACAGAAGAATAAACTTACTAGGGAGATATACTGGCAGATGTTGTTTGTCGTGAGTATGTAATATATCTGAATACCTGACTATGTGATATTTATTTCTTTAGTACTTTGCTGAGTAAGTGTAGGTACCCCAAAGGTAGAGTGGTTTCATTCAGAGTGGGTTCTACCCCAAAGGTAGAATGGGTTCATTTCGCCACCTGGTTGGGAGGAAGGACAGGGAAAGGGAGTTGAAAATGTCTGCAAGAAAATCTAAAGACTCAAACCTGGGTAAGTACAGGTAAAGAAAGGAGATTGCTTTCAAATTTAGAGGAAGATAGGGTCCAGAGGGTTGGAGAGCTATATAGGGTGACAGTTGCTATAGGGGTCTTTGAGTCTTTGAGTATATGAAATGGAAGGACAGAGTTCCTGTCAGAGGGGTGTTTGGGTAAGTGGTTCAGGGGAGTATACATTCTCTGTATGACTGGGTAAGCCATGCAGGAGTGGTGTGGAGAAAAAGGTCAAGGGACTAAAAATTGAGGTGCTTGTGAGTTATTCTTGTGAAATTCGTGGTCATCTGAAATGAGGAAAGGAGATTAAAATGGAGAGGAGGAAAAGGCTGAACCAGATGTCAACCTCTTCATTATGGAAATGAGAGGGTGGTGTAATCCCAGGGAAGATGGTAATGGTCTGGAAGAGGCACTGTGAAGTGAGGATGGTAATGACCCTGTTTTTTGGCTTGAGAGAAATGGGATATGTGAAAAGGAACTGACCACATGTAGGGGTGTAATTTGGGGCATGGTCAGGTAGGGGCAATTATCACTAGCGAGTCACTAGATTTCAAAAAGGAGGTAGAGGTTCTAAGAAGAGGCTGAAAAAAGGTGGACTTCTCTTGTCCTTGTCTGGGTTTCAAAGAGCGTACTGGAAGGGTTTAGGAGGGATAGAGGAGAGGCTGTACAGGGCTTTGGGTCAACTTAGAAGATAGGGGAATAGAGAAAGGTGGGGATAAGACTTGGAAGGTAATGGGTAAAGAAATGCTTGGTGTTTTAGCAGAGTCTGATGTCAATGTTAAAGAGTTGATTGAAAAACTCAGGTCTATACCTGTGTCCTTTGGAAGATGGTAAACTCAGGCATTGTTGATTCTGAAAGTTGGGACAGGTAAATTAGTTGAGATTTGGATGGGAGTTATGGTTAACCCTTCAAAAATGCTTTTCAGCAGTGACATGCCAGCAGAGAACAGGCACTGGCTGGAATATGCCAGGCAACATATTTAAGAGTTGTCAGTAAGTTTTTGCCTTGAGGGAGGAGACTATAACATGGCATTGGAGAAAGACTGAGATGTGAGACCTGGGCCCTAAGTTTAGCTGTGCCACTGATTTTGACTAATTTTTAGCAAGTCCATTATCTTCTCAGAGCTTTAGTTTTCCCATTTATATATCACTGGACTATTTATTTCTAAGGTTGTGTGATTTTCTGTGTGTGATACTGGCTTTAGTTGGATTGAAGAAGGAAGAACATACTTTTGAATCTCTTATTTCCATTTTTTTTGTCCTAGGTCAATGTCTAGTCTGGGTCCAGTGTTCCTTCCCAAACTGTGAGAAATGGAGACGACTTCGTGGGAATATTGACCCTTCAGTCCTCCCAGATAATTGGTCCTGTGACCAAAATACAGGTGTAAAATGGGAAAACAAATTTTCTCAAATTTTTATTATTCTTCCCTTATTTCTCTGCATATATCATCGAGATTAAATATGATAAAGGTATAGTCAAGGGCCTTTACACAGGAGTCTGTGTAAAGAAAGGATCTTCATGAGATATCAAGAAGAGTCTGGCCATATTGAGCTGGAGGAAGACACCCTGCTGAGTGAAATTTTGGGAGCAACTGGGAATCTGAGCGAATTCTATCTTATTCAGCATTGGTGTGACCATTAATTGGTTTTGGGTTGTTGGATAGAAAGGGAAATAGTATGATATATAGGGGAAAGCAGGTAAAAGAGATCCAGTGACTTAGAATTCTAGAGTGTTCAAAACTACTTGGAAGAGATTATGATGATCTAGTCTAACTCGTTTATCTTACAGATGAGGAAATAGAGTTTTCAGAGAAATTACCATCATGATGTTACATAGGTAGAAGCAGGGTACAGTGTGGATGCAGGCAGGTGTTTAGAATCTCTGATTTTAGAATGCAAGGAGCCTACTCTGACTCTAGCTGCTTTCCTCCGTGGGTCTTCGTTGTTCTTTCTCCATGTCTGCCTCCCAAGTGCCCTATTGGTCCCACCTGCCGCATATGCCATTTATTCTTACTCTATCCCTGCCCTCACCCAGATTTTCACCTTATGAACCTCACCCCTGCTCTTCATTCCTTCACTTTTGGCAGACTTGGAGCATAATCGCTGTGATATCCCTGAAGAAATCTGGACTGGGCGTGAGAGTGATGTGGCCTATGCTTCCTACATCCCAGGATCCATCATCTGGGCCAAACAATATGGTTACCCCTGGTAGGGCACCATGTTATAGTCAGACTGTCTCTCATGAACCTGAGAGAGGTAGATTCAAGCAGGGAAGGGGAGAAACAGGAAAGGATTTATAATGGAGGTGATACCTGCTTTAGAAAGAATATGTGGTGAAGGAGAGGATAAAGTACCAAACCTGGAGGCTTTGAAAGACTATGTTTTCTAGAGGTTGCTTGGTAGAGATGGTATCTACCTGAGAAAAAGGGTCTGACAGTCCCACCCTGAGTGGGTAGAGAGGGAAGGGTGGCTCTAAAGTCATTTTAAAACATTGAAATTTAAAAGAGAGAACAAAATAAAGAGAACAGGAAGAATAGGCTAGCTACTTTGGAGGACTTTTGTCCTCAGGGTTGCTGGAAGGTTACAAGGATAAGATGCTTTTACTAGAAGATTTCTAAACTTGTTTATATATTAATAGAAGTCACTTATAAGATGTCATTTGGTAGTGATTTACATATTGGTCTATCTTTGGGATTTTTTCTTTGCAAAACATATGGCCCCCCTTTATGTAAAGATATAATGATGAATTTGTGTTCTCATCTTCCATCCCTTACACCTCTCTATTTTCTCCAGGTGGCCAGGCATGGTAGAATCTGATCCTGACCTGGGGGAATATTTTCTTTTTTCTTCACATCTGGATTCCCTACCGGTGAGTTTTCCAGGTCCAGGGTAGGTAGGTACTGAGGTTAAACTAAAGTGTACAACGTTATAAACAGAGACACAGCTAGCAGACATGAACAGAAACAGACACACAGATAAGACTGACAAGCACAGAAATAAGTACTCACATACAGAAAAAAAATTAATTAAATATTTATTCACTACTAGGATGTTTATAGTTTTGATAAATATGCTTTGTTTAGGATTCCTGAGGTTAGGATGGAAGAATAATGGAATCATGTAGGGTGGGCAGGTCAAACTTAAGAGAGCAGGTGAGGCACAGTATCTCCTTCCTGTGGGTCCTCTCTTCTTCCCCTGTCTTTTCTGGCTAGGACCCTAAAGCAGGGAGAAGGACAAGCAGACCTAACAGAACCATATTTTATTTCAGTCTAAGTACCATGTGACATTTTTTGGAGAAACAGTCTCTCGTGCCTGGATCCCAGTCAACATGCTAAAGAACTTCCAGGAGCTGTCCTTGGAGCTAGCTGGAGTGGTGAGCAATCCTTGAGAATCAGCTGAGACATAGGAAATTTGAAAATTAAATGAAACTGGTTTTCTCCCAGGGGACTCTGTGTCAGGAGAAAGTCCCATGTCTGACCTAGTATACAAAGATTAGGTTATTCATGAGGGTCTTATTTACACCAGGATTGCAGATTGTTTTTTCCTTATAATAGTTTCCTTCCCTGCCGGCAGATGGGGGGGCTTCCTGAAATCATGATTTTCTGCCATTTAGCAACAGCATGTATGATAGAAATGAAGGCACAGATTGACTTGGCACTATAGAAATTTGGGCCAGGTAATTGTGGAGGACTGTCCTATACATTGTAGGATATTTAGTGGCATCTTGGGCTCCTAACTAATAGTATTCCCTGGCATCTAATACTGGCATCTAACTAATAGTATTCCTGGTTGTGATAGCTAAAAAAAAAAGATATCTATCTTCTGAGAACAAGATCTCTCTGGTTGAGAACTACTGAATTAACTAAATAATATTTCTTCCTTATGATCACTCTGGGTTTGACCAGCCTTAAATATGAGCAGAGAAAGACCCAGTAACTCGAGGACCTCAGAAAATCAGACAGCTAGATTTAAAGAAACTTAAAAACATAATCATCTGAATGCCTTTTAATCTTGAGATTTCGTGTTTCCATAGGATTTACTTTAGAGAGTACCCTAAATGTTGAATGAAAATATCGCTAGGTATTAGTAAAAGTTCAGTTGTGGGGTAGGGGAGGATTGTGTCTATGAGATCAAAAGATTTAGATATGTCAAATCAATATCAGGATAAAGATAATGTCTGGTGAGTAGCAGTATGTTGGGACCACTTCCCTACTATTTATCATTGACTTTAACGTTCTGTTTCAGAAAAAGTGCAGGAACAAGGACTGCACCCAGAAATTGGGAGCAGCCTTGATGATGGCTCAAGAGGCAGAGCAGATCAATATCCAGGTGGGGGAATATACAGACTGCATGCCTGCTCCCTATGGAGCTTGGGACACAAAAGCAAACCATACACTCTGGTGCAGAAATCTGGCTTGTCCTTTCTTATTACACTATTTTAGTTTTAGAACTGGTCTTTTTTTCCCTGGCCAGATTAGAAATTATCCATTCTTTTCCCTATCCTGTAACAAATGGGATCTACTCTCAACCCTGGATAGAGTTTGTGGTAGTGGACACTGTATCTCCTTATTTAACTTCAGGTTTCAGATTCTACTCTAGATGTACTTTTCAAGATTCAATATATACTTTAACTTCTTTTATGTGGAATAGGTTTTCACGCTCAAATTCTGCCTTTGGGAGTGGGCTGGAGAGTGACAAACAGTGAATTCCCCTCTCTGTTTATTAACTGAATTATAAATAAATTGGAAAGGGAGACAATAATGATATAATAGTCAATCACAAAAATCTAGATAAACCTAATGTAAACTTTCAAATGAAAATGGTATGGAATATAAATTTTGTAACTAAATTTAGGCCTCAAAGGGCAAACATTTTCCAGGATGTTAATGGATGATGCTTTTGCTTCTTGGTTCCCTCAGGAACGTGTTAACTTATTTGGTTTCTGGAGCCGTTATAATGCATCTGACAATAGTGGGGAAAGAAAAGGTAGGAAAAGTAGGAGCACTACTTTGGTGGGGGTATTCCTTCATGGGAACAGCAACTGAACCTATTTTATATCCAGTGTCATCAGTTTAGCTCTCCATGAATGCCATACCACATGTAGGGGATGGATGGATGGATGGGTAGGTGGGTGGATGGGTGGATATAGGAATGGAGAAACAAGGGAATGTGGAGGGAGGGTGCATAGTGAATAGTGATAGACAAGTATGGAATCATGAGGCTCTTGAATCATGTCTAATGTATTGAAAATACCATTTGTCATGAAGGGTGGAGTTGGAAAATGGATTCTCTGGTTTGAACTCCTTAAACATTTATAGGATAAATGACTTAGACTTTCCTATTTGTGTTTTAGATGTAATGATCTCTGGTTCTAACAGCTCAAGTCCCTCTTCAGAGAAAGAAGAGGAACTGGAGTTGGAGGAGGAGAAGAAGGAAGAGAACAAAGTAAGACTGAATTGGGGGACTCCCTTTTGGCAATTTCTAGAGAACATCTGGTTAGCATGGATTTATATTTACTAACAAGCCATCTTGCTCTGCCTCCGGGTTCTGACAAACTGTTCTTAGCACTTAGGAGTCTCCTGGGAAGGAAATTTTTCTTTTTTCTTCAGCTAGTCTCTCTAATATCTCACGTCTTTATAGATTTATTTCTTATCATCCTAGTTTCTATTGTAGTTCTTTGGTTCTGACTAGGGCAATTTCATAGAATAACAGATTGATTCCATTCTCCCTTCTTCCTTTATATGGACACTGAGGATACTCAATCATTGTTCCCTTAGTTTTTTTTTTTTCAGGTATTTTAAACAGATACTGCTTTTCATATTTGAAGATTTTTTTAATAGTGGTTTTATGTTCAAACAAAATTGAGAGGAAGGTGCAGAGCATTTCCACATGCCCCCTGACCCACACATGCATAGTTTGCCCCATTATCAACATACCCCACGAGAGTAGTGCTTTTTTTTTTTTTTTTACAATTGATGAACCTACTTTGACACATAATCACCCAGAGTCCACAAATAAATAATGATATACAAACATAGGTGAGACAGGATGGTTAGAATGGATAGGAGTTGGGTATTTCCCTTCCCTTAAGACAATTAGGATTTGATTTCACCCTAGTAATATAAGCTCTGGTTAGTGAGTTTCTCCTTTGGGCAGGCCTTGATAATGGATTGCTCTGGTATTTTTCAAAGTGTTCCCTTTGCCCCTGCCCCAGAAACATGGAGGGATTTTTCTCTGATATTTTCTATGAGAATCTGGCTCCTCTGGGGCTAAACCCACAGAAGTCTAGTAGCTCACCATGACTGTGTCTCCCTGGAATTTCCAGCTTTTTAATTGTCTACACTGACCTTCCAGAAATTAATTTATTACTGCCAAGTCTTTATTATCCTGGCACTAGTTCCTATCCTGGATTCTCCTTTTATCTATTGTAGTAAGCCAGGCCTCCCTGTATTTACCTCTCTGTCTTTTCAGACTTGAGAGCAGCAATTTGCCTTTTTTTCTCTTCTCAACAGATTTAAGAAGAGTTATTAATCCTTCAGTCTCTTCATCTTTTCAGGTGTTAGAACAGAGTGGCAACTTCCAAATTTCTTATATGCAGTTTGGAAACTTAAAGTTCTGAATATAGATTTTCACCTTCTCCTTTAATTTTTTTTTATCTTATTTGTGGCCTAACTTTATTTCCTTCTCATGTGCATGAAACCTTGTGTTGACTAGTAGCAAATAGAGTGAAAGGAGTGAACATCTTTTTTGCCATTGATTTAAACTGTTTCAAGCTCACAGGACCTAAGTTCACTCCTGTAAACCTACCCTTCATTTTTGTAGCATGCCACTCTTTAATAGACACAATTATGACTTCATTTATTTTTCTCTCCCATCCTCAGAACCCACCTTTACCCAGCCCTAGGGCAACAAAAACCCAGACCAAAAAAAACAAGGCAAGAGGTGAGCAAGCCAGCTGGAAAAGGGACATGTGTTACATATAGTTACATCAGGGCAGAAACACTGGAAAGGGCCTTTAGGGCAGGCCTTACTGATAGTCTCAGTTCTAGAACATGAATGAGTGTAATCAGGAAAGTTGTAGCCTCACTTTTGTGTATTGAATTACAGAATAATAGTTTAAAGGTGGAATAATCTTTTAAATTCTTAGTCAAGAAGGATGACTTCCTGAAGGAGACAGGATTTGAGGACTATAAAGTGAAGAAGATCCAGGAAAAATAAGAGAGATTGGGGAAAGGATGGAATTGAGAGAACTCAACAGAGTGAAAATGAGCAGAAGGTGCAGGGCATGACTAAGTGTGGGGGGTCAGACTATGCTTTGGAGAGAAATAAACCAGTGTTTTTGACGGGGGTTGTAGGTAATACAGGCAAAGCAGATGGGCAAGTTGGGACCCTGCAAAAGAAGATGATGAAAAGATCTCTGGGAATCGAATCCTTAATGGGAGGAAAAGAAGGGCAAGCAAATTCAGATTCTGACCAGCCAGGTAAGACTCAAGGCTTGGGAAAAACTATGGCTAACTAAGGTTCATATTTGCACCTCTCCTCCTTAGGTCATTTCTTAGCAATTCTACAGGTTTTTTTTTTTTTTGGTGCTTTAAAAAGGACAAAGATTAGGCAAAAGGGCATCTTTCAGATTATAGAATGCAGCACACAATATATACCAACGATGATCATAGATTTGATTTACTCCAGGGATAGGAGATTAGTGAGGAGGTAGGAACTAAAGGTTTTGAATTTTTGCAGTGCGCTAGCAATATAGACACTATGTGCATGTTCCTTTTAATTATTTGAATATCTTTATGATTGGAAATTTCCTTTATTAAAGATGAGACTGAGGCTTAAATTTGCTTAAGACCCATTTTATATATGTATACACACACACACACACACACACATTTATTGCATAGTTTGAGTCCAGATTTCATGACTTCAAAGCATATATTTTTTTCTACTCAGAGCAGTAATCTTTTTCAGAGATTTCTTGGAAATAGAAATTTAGGAATCTGACCTATAAAAGAAAGAATAGGTGACCTAATAGGTCTTTTAATTTAATCACTTTTCATGTAGGTCCTAAGAAAAAATATAAAGCTCCCCAAAGCAAGGCCTCAGAAACCAGCTTGTCTGAGAAAAAAGCAAAAACTGTGCCAAAGGGCAAGACCTGCCCTGTGGTGGGACAAAAAGGGCCTGGACCCCAGGAGCTTCAGCCTCAGGAGGATGGTGATGCCCCACCTAATGATGAAACCTCCAGTGACCTGGACCTAGACCAACTCATGGAAGAGGTTGAAAAAGAGCCTGAGCAGAGAGAGGAGCCGCAGCAGAGAGGGGGCGCAGAGTTCACCACTGATTTCTTTGAGGAGTAGTTGTTGTTCTCATGTTCGCACACCCTTTCCCTGGGAACAGGAGGGAGACCCTCTTAGAAGGGTCTTTGAGAAACAAAGTGTTGGGTTTGTTCATTGGCTAAGTCAGAGTTGTATAGTTTATGTGTTAATAAAACAGGTTACGGGTTTAATTGGTTTGGTTCATCTCTAGCCAGATGCTTTCTTTTGGCTTCTCTCTCTCACCTCTGAGTCACTGTCGCATACTATAATTTCTGGTGGGGATCTGGGAAGTTAACACCCAAGTTCTAAAAGGACATTGAGAAGGACAGATCCAGGTTCAATTCATGGCTCACAGCTTGTTGTAGTCTTAGGAAAAGCACTGTAACCATTCTGGTTCTTCTCACGTCTCAAATGAGTATATCAATACCCTCCATAAAGGGTTGTGAATGTTTAAATGAGGTGATACACATAAAGCCCTTAACAGCACATGTTATTATTATAAGGAAATGAAACAGTTATATTAGAGACTTGGGGGCAGACATTGGATTCCAGGCTGACTGTGAGTGTTTGGGGATTTATTATTCTTAGGCCTGTAATGGTCACAGAACAAAGGTACTGAAGGAGAATATCTTCCTCAAGTTCACTGTTGGCTAGAAGGACAGAAGTTGAAGGTGACATCAGTTTTCTGTTGGGTATATTGAGATAAATTCTTGGGTACTTTCATTTTTATGGGTGACAATAGGAAGTTGAAGAGAGAATTAGAGCAGATGGTGTTTCTCTCTGGTCCTTAATGGCCTTCAGCTCCTGCTGGCTTCTGAGTCCTGTGTGTCTGGCCAGGGTTGCCAGAAGCCATGATCCTTGTGTGCTGCATACTCCAGGGAGGTCATTCAGTCTCACTCCTTAGGCCTTTAAGGTGGAGTATAGGGTCACCTCCTGAGGGCTCCAGTTGGGAGGTGTTGCTGGTGAGGTTGAACCAGAGAGGGCAAGGGATGCATAGACGATTCCGTCATCCTGAGTGAGAACCGAGAGGCATGTTAGACAGTGGAAGGGGGCTGCCCCTGTCCTAGAGCAGACAGCACACCTGAGTGTCCGCCCCAAACCACAGTCCTTCATCTCTCCACCCAGCCTTCTCCAGACTCCCCTTTTATGCTTTCAGGCCTTAGTCTGAGCTGCTTACCTTGGGGTCCAGCCTGAGGTCTGTACGTTGCCCTAAAGAGAAAGCAAAACGAGCCAGATCAGCCAAGGTGGAGAGGTGGACAGGGGCTCCTGTAGTAAGTCATCTGCTAGGTCAGGACCAGGGTCACAGGGGAGGGATGGGAGTGGGGGGTGGGGATGGGAGAGATTGGGCACACGTGTAGGGTGGGGTGTGTGGGGAAGAAGGAAGGGACAAGACTAAAGAGAGGAGTGAGGAAGAAGGGACTTACCTTTATACCCAGTGTTCTCGTATTCCTCCTCACTGTTCTGGAAGGGTCCCCTGCATGGGGCCAAGAGGGTGGGGAATGTGTGAGGGGCCAAGCAGAAAAGAATGAAAACCTCCTTGGGACAGATTCTCCTAGTGGGGACCCTGGGACCCCAGACTGCAATGAGCTCAGAAGGCCTGGAGAGGCTCGAGGGAAGTGAGGTTCTTGAGTGCCCACTGGAAGGGACTGCTCTGGAGCTTTTGTTGGAGGGCACAGGGAGCAGGAGGCAGGACAAGCTCCTGTCCCTCGCTGCACTGCCGTGGACCCCAAGGAAGCCAATCTTGGGTCCTCTGGGCCGGTGCTCAGGCCTTGGGGTGGGAGAGGGTGTCTTTCTGGCAGAGAACCTGAGGAAGACAAGCCAAAGTTGGGGAGGGGGGAAACAATGGAAATGAGTGGAGAAAAGGAAAGAGCTGGGGGTGAGGAGGGAAAGTGGTCAGGAGAGGAAGTTGGGGAGTAGGTGGGGGACAAGGGGGAGTTTGAGGAAAGAGCTGGCAGGGGTGCTGAGGGCAAAGGGGCCTGTGGATCCTTGAGTGACACCAGGTGGGGCAATAAATAAGAAAAAGGACGAGTTGGGAAGAGGGAGATGTATTTGGGAAGATAAACAAGGACAAGCAGAAAGGAAAGCTGAGAAGGGGGTGAAAGTGAGAGGGGGCCACCAGAGGAAGGGAGCCAATCTGGAAAGAACGAGCAGATGTGCTGGAAGCCCCAGGTTCAGTTATGTGGTGTTATTTTTTGAAGGAGAGGGGGCCTCAGGAAGTGAGGGGCCTGGCCTGCTGGGGGCACCTGAGGCAGCAGACAGGCCGGTAGAGCTGTTCTCATAAGGGAACTCCTGCTCCCCAAGCAGCCTGACCCCTAAAGGACAGGGTCTCACCTGGCCGGGGTCCTGACGCCAGCGCGCACACCTGTGGGGAGACCAGCAGCGAGTCAGTGTGCCACCGCAGGCCCTGCAGACCCTCCTCCGCCCTGCCCTGCGTGGCTCCCCTGGGAAGTCCTCGGGGAGACCAGCAGTGAAGCAGCTCGCTGACACTCATCTGGGAAGGGCCCGGGGCTCGCAGCTGGCACCTGCTGGCACCCTGAGGCCACCCACCCTGTCCCGCTCTGTCCTCAACCACTGGTCAGGAGACCCGCTCTTCTCGGCCCTGTGCCCTCTCACCCTGCCTGCCTGCCCTTGCTTCCTTCTCCCTTCAGTTCCGCCTGCTCCTCCCACCAGGGAGCAGAGCTGGCCTCCACTTCCCTCCTTCCCTCTGCCACAGGCACCCTCAGGGCTGCCCTCTGGGGGCGGCTGATTGCCTCTGCTGTCTGAGAACCTCCTGGCTGCACCCAGTGTTTGCACTGCAGTCCCTGCCGCTTCACCCTCTGCCCTCTGCTGACCCCTGCAGTCCCTGTGCCCTGTGCCCTCCACCTCCTCCCTGAAGTCTCTCCACAGCCTTTCCCAGGGATTTGGCCCCAGCACCATCCTGTAGGTCTTTTCATATATGGGGGCAACCCTCTGAACCATCCCCCAGCACCTCTACACAGCCACGACCTGAACTTTCTTTTTTAAATCTCTGGGATGAACAACTCTGAAATATTAAGTGCTTGTTTTATTTTTATGTCAGTTCTTTTCTTTCCTCCAAGCTCTTCTCATTATCTTGCTACCCCCATGGTTTGGCCCCACCGGATCCCTGTCCATTGATAACCCACTTCAGGGCATCCCTGCTCCTTGCGGAGCCCTCGACCCTCCTTGATCTTCTGTCCTGTTGCACTTAGCTGACACATTTCCATTCCTGGATGTCCTGTGGCAAGGAACACTGTTTGCTTAAATACATTTACTTGAATACATATACATTCAGTAACAGAATCTGAATTTTATTCAGAGCAGCTGTGTGTTCACCTACAGGTAGATGTGGGGCATAACCACTAATTTCTACCCAATAAAGTACAGGGGAAATTGTGGGTAGGATTTTCAGGAAGGTTCTTTAAAAGGAGGACAGACAACTGAGCATAGACTTTTTGTTTCTTTTCCTCCTATCTCCTGTCTGAAACCCAAAAGCAATGGCTAGAGTTACAGCAGCAACCCTGGGTCAAAAGACTACCTTCAGTATAAAAGCCATCATCCAGCACAGTGCGCACAAGTTGGGAGCCTGAGGACCTGAGGGCAGGGTCTGCCTCCAGATCCCTTTACATGAGTAACTTCCTCTGGGAAGTCCTCTCTGCTTCTCTCTTTCCTCCCAACCTACCATAGGCAACTGCCCGCTTGCTCACTCTCCACCACTGAGTTCCTTGAAAGTGGGAATCTATGCTTTATTTTCTGTTGTATCTTTCATACCAATCAGGCCCTGAAAAACAGTCAGTTATTGCTTGCTGAGGTAGGCAAATCCTTGTCCCTTTTATTCTCACCCCACTTTTCTCAGAGCAGATCCCACTCTCTCCACGAACCAAAGGGTGAAGACCAATGAGAAATGATTAAATCAAGAGACTTGAATGGGAATTGATCAGTTTATGGAGAGGGATTTGGCTACAGCAGGGTTTCTCAAACGTGATGAGGCATAACTGTCACTTGAGAAGACTGTTAAAAATGCAGGTTCCCTGGCCCTCCCTGGTGGCGCAGCAGGTTAAAGCACAGCACTGAGAATCTAAAGCCGCTTCCGCATGAGTTCGATCCCTGCCTGCCCCGGAGGTGACCACATGGCGCGGCAGACCTCTCCTGACCCGCCCGCTGCTCCCCTCAGCAGTGTACTTCGTCGATCTGCCTGTTCTGCTCCTCACTCTGTCTCTGGTGAATCCTCTCACCCTCCGCATCTCTGGCCTGTACCCTAGTTCTGTATGAATAAATAAAAAAAAAAAAAAAAAGCCAGGTTCCCAAGCCCAGACCTCAGGTCCAGAAAGATCTGTATTCTGAATGGCACCTGTGGGCATTCTAATTCAGGTGGGTATGAGAACACCCAGTTGGAAAGCCTCGGGAGAGGGTGGAGGCCCTGGACTATTTACCTTTGTTTCTCTTCCACCAGAAGTAGACAGTCAGTCCCAGAATCACAGTTATGAGCACAGTGCCAGCCAGTGCTGCTCCCACCACAGCTTCCAGACTCAGAATCTGAGGCCTCTTGTTGCCATCATCGAGTCCATATGTGGTGGTGGCCGCAATAGTGGCAGGGCCCAGGGTGGCAGTTTCACTAGCTGAGAAGACATGAAAGATAAGCAAATTCTCCCCTGGAGAGGGGGTGAAATTGTCACATCTTACTCTTAGTTTGGGTTATTGGGAATGAGGGAAACCGCAACCTCTCATACAGGAAAGGGAAAACAAGGTGAGGTGCCAAAGCTCAGAAAACACTTCTGAATTTAAATCCTTCCTCTACCACTGAACATTTCCTCACCTACAAACAAGGATAACTAAATCATGGGATTTAAAATAATTTTATTGTGGTAAAAAATGCAAAACATAAAATTTATGACTTAACCATACAGTTCAAGTGGTATAAATTCCCATTTACCTTGTACAGCCAACACCTTCCATCTCTGGAACTTTCTAAAACAGGAAATCTGTCTATTCAGCATTAAGTCCTTACTGTCTCCCCCAACCAGTCTTGGAACTACCTTTCTACTTTCTGTTTCTGTGAATTTGCTTCTAAAAGTATTTCCTATAAGTGGAATCAAACAGTTACTTGTCTGTTTACATGATTTAAAAAAAAAAAAGATGTATTTAACTATGCATACAAGATAGGGGTATAGGTCAGAGGTGCTGGGGTGGTGAGAGGATTCACCAGAGACAGAGTGGGGAGCAGAACAGGCAGATTGCCAAAGTACACTGCTGAGGGGAGCAGCGGGCGGGTCAGGAGAGGTCTGCCACGCCATGTGGTCACCTCCCTGGCCGGGGATGGAACTCAAGCCAAAGTGGCTGATGATAGCTTCATAATGCTGAGACTTAAACTCTTGTACCACCAGGGAAGCCCCATGTGATTGTTTTATTAAGTGAAAGATATCTGTGAACAGTGTATATTGGATATATATCTTCGCATCATTATACGTTAAATGATTGTACACTAAGTTAATATATATTGAATTTTAGTTCCCACTAACAGATTGCACTTTTGTAGATGTTTCAACCCCAACAAGAAACTGACATATTACTAAGGCACAGAAAAAAATCTAATGCCAGTAAAATCTTCAGACTAGTGTGTGCCAAATTCTGTCTACTCCACTTAGAAATTAGTATTAAAAGTTTAAATACCATTTCTCCACTGAGATAACGAGTTTTAACAACTTAATCAAGGAAATAGATATAGTAGCATGCTATTGAGAAAATAAACACCAGAACAACACATACTAAAAATAAAAGTCCTGGAATTTGAGTAAGTCACACAGCTTAATTCGTAGAATTGAGTGCTTTTTAAATTTAAAGTGGAAAGAGGTTTCAAAGAAAATGTACCAAAAAGCTGAAAGGTACCAGCTCTAAGGGAACTTAGAAACTAATGAAATCCTGTGTAGGACTCAATTTATTAGGAAGCAGCAGTGGTGGGAATAGTAAATTCAGGATGTGGTTAGAGTAAAAGATAAAACAAGAAAACAGTCAAGACTAACAACGACAAAGTCTGTATGTTCAATTATACACTTACAAACTAAGTGTACATTTAACTCTAAGTTAATAAATTAGAAAAACTCTGAAATGGATAATTTCCTGAAACAAAAAATTTTAAATGGCTTTAAGAAGTGTTAAACAGATCAGTATATAAGAAAGAAATGAGAACATGATTAAATAACTACTTTGCATAAAGATTCTAGGCTCAGCAGATTTTATGGATAAGTTATGTTTTAAAATTTAAGGAACAGGCCCTCCCTGGTGGCGCAGCAGGTTTAAGTGCAGCACTATAAGCAAGGCACAGCTGCTTCAGTGTGAGTTCGATCCCCAGCCCAGGAAGTGACCCACAGAGCATAGCAGACCTCTCCTGTCTCGCCCGCTGCTCCCCTTCCCTCAGCAGTGTATTTCAGTAGATCTGCCTGTTCTGTTCCCCACTCTGCTCTGGTGAATCCTCTCACCCTCTGCATCTCTGGCCTGTACCCTAGTTCTGTATGAATGAATAAATAAATCTTTAAAAAAGTAAAATTTAAGGAGCAATGGGCACAGCACTGTGAAGCTCTCAGCAACACTGCAGCGCTGCAGCACATTTTCAGTTCCCAGCGGGGAACTGACCCACATGGTGTACCAGACCTCTTGACTTGCTGCTGCCCTCAGCAGTGTATTTCAGTGGATCCCCTGTTCTGTTACATACCTTGTCTCTGGTGAATCCTCTCACCCCTCACATTTCTGGTCTGTAGCCCAGTTCTTGCATGTATGCATGCATAAAGCTTTAAAATAATAAAATAAAATTTAAGGAACAGTTAATTACTAAAATATTTTAAAACAGAGAGATATGGAGAACTGTAATTCTATTTTGTTGCATAAAATGATAACATAATCCTGATGTTAATATCCACTCATGAATTTTAAAATGCAGGTGGGAGTGGGAGCTGAGTCTTGAGCAGGCAGCATGCGACCTGGCAGGCAGCAGCCTGTTTTGGGAAGATTAAGCTGAAAGGGAGAAGCAGGCAGAGGTCTGGGGAAGAGTTGAGACAGAGAGAGACCATAGAAAGGTCAGAGACTGGGACACCAGTGGTGTCAGCAGCCTCGGCGAGGTGGGTGCCCAGGTTGTAGAACAGCTGAATTCACCTGGGATGATGCTGAGTCTGGTCCCCAGGATGGACTGCCACATCTTCTTGCCATGTTTCATTGTGTTCATCTGGACCCTGCAGAAGTAGGTAGACTGATCCTCCTTCCGAAGTTTCAAGATCTGGAGGGAGCCATTACTACTGCCTGCTGCCCAGTTCAGGACCAGCCGGTTCTTGAAATCCTCGTGGATGAACAACAGACTTGTGTTATAGATGAACTTTCCATGGAAGTGCTTCCATCTCCAGAAAAGCCTCAAATCAGGAACTTTGGCAGGTTTCCAAGAGTAATAGAAGGAGAAGGGGATGTGAATGGAGCCACCCTCAGGGGCTGAGAGGTGCTCAGGTTGCTGGACCCCAAACCTGTGCTTAGAGTTGGATCCTGCTGAGCTACCTAGAGGAGGGAGAGAGACTTTGAGGCCCCCAGGAGAGACAAAACCAGTAACCCCTTGGGCACCCTCCCCATGGCAGTGGTGTGGCATGTGGTAGGAGTGGACCTCTGGCTGGCAGTCCCTCTCCAGGCTGGGGGCCAAGGGCCAATGAGGGTGGCTGGGCCGGGCACCAGGGGTCCTGCCTCTGGCACAGGGAGTGGGAAGCAGACCCCTTGTCCAGCCTCCCCGCAGAGCCCCTCCAGGATCTCTCCATGGCCCTGGAGGTGTAGGGGGTGCAGAGCCAGGGAGCCCTGACCACTCACCAGCCTCCAGGGGTGCTGGCAGCAGCAGCAAGGGCAGCAGCAGGGTCAGGCCCATGCTCCACAGGTTTGCTGAGAAAACACTGAGCGCTACCCAGGCATGTGGCACCAGAGGGTGAGGCTCAGGCTCCTTGGAGAAAAGTGGGAGTAGACGCTTCACCAGGCCCACCCCCAGATTACTAGCACTTCTCTGTTCATCTGAGTTCTCCTTTTCCTACATTGCAAAAGGGCCTTCCTTGTGGTCAGTGTAGAGCTGAGATCCTGACTTTGACCTGCCTCTGCCAAGCACCTGGGCATCTCTCTGGTCATCCAGTTTGGAAAAAGTAAGGTCTTTAAGGACAAAGTCTCTCTAGTTATAACGGAAAAAACAAAAAGGTTATGGTTTGATTGTTAATGCTGTTAATGGTTTGACTGTCACTATTGCACTACTGACTGAGCCCAGAGCTGTCACAGAGATTGAGATTGTTGTTGTTTTTTTCCTCACATTTGTGACAAAGCTTCCCACCTTAGGGTCCTGCCTGTCTTGCCTCCAGACACCCCAATAATTGGAGCTGGTCTTCGACAATCCAGCCCCTGCGTCTCTCATCCCATGGGAGGGGCAGCATCAGGACAAGCTCAGGCTCTTTCTGGAGAGGAAACGGTGGCCATGAGCCTCTGCCAGCAGTGATAGCCCTGTAGAGAAATGAAGGGAGGAGGCCTGCAGTCAGGTGCCCTGAGCAGTGGTGCCACCCACCTTCTCTTGGCCTTTCTCCTTGCCCTGCAGCCTCTCCCCTGCAGGCCTCAGCCAGAACCAAGGCCCCCGGCCCTTCTCCCCTGAGCAGTCTCATGCCCTCCCTGAGGTGAAGAGCTGACGGTGGGGGGGGGGGGTGCAGGTAATGTTCCCACCTACCTGGGGAGCAGGCCTCTGGAGGCCATATTCAACCAACACATGCAAAAGGCTGGTTTCCGTTCTTATGTCTAGGTCTTTAATCCACTTCGAGTTGATTTTTGTGACTGGAGTAAGGCAGTGATCTAGTTTCATTTTTTTGCATGTAGCTTCCCAGTTTTCCCAGCACCACTTGCTGAACAAATTTTCTTTGTTCCATTGTATCTTCTTTGCTCCTTTGTCAAAAATTAGGTGTCTATAAACTTGTGGGTTTATATCTGGGTTTTCTATTCAAATCCACTGGTTTGTATGTCTATTCTTATTCCAGACTATGTTTTTATAAAGCTTCTTAGGTGATTTCCTCCACAGCATAAGAGTCCTGGCTAACCCAGAACTTTCTTTAGACAGAAGGAATTAAAGGCTCTGAGCCAGACCCTGGTAGCCTGCAGGGCTCTCCCTGTAGTAGGCTCTCTGACCCTTCTCCAGGATGAGCTTGGTTTTGGCTCCCTGAGCACTGGGGGTAGGGGGGGGGGACGTGGTGTCATCAGAGGTGACTGAGTGTCCTCAGTCTTCTAGAAGTGGCCCCAAGCTGAGTGACTTTCTTTCCTCAGTTTCTTTCCCAACATCAACACCGATTGTTTTCTTGTGCACTTTCCCCACGGCAGCCATGCTTCTCCCTTTCCTCTCTGTCTAAAGACTTGAGTATCTAGATACTTCATCACAAAGGACATAGAGATACCAAGCACAGCAAAGGCTTTTGTGGTTAGGGAATTCACACGAAAACCAAGAGACACCATTACCTGTCCATGAAATGGCTGAAATGAAAAAGACCAACCACCATTGCTGTGAAGAGGATGTGGCGCAACAAGGGCCCACACACTGTTGGCAGCAATGTCAAGTGGTACGGCCACTTTGGCCATTCTGTAAAAATGAAGCACACCCATGACCTCTCACCAGGTCATGCGCTGGGAGGTGTTGCAGTACTGGCCAGCAGCAGCCACCTGGGAACTTCTGGAAAACCCCATCTTAGGTCCCACCCAAGCCACTTAAGTGTGAGGAACACTGCCTGGGGGCCGACAGGTGGACTTCTGGCCTTCCTTGTGTGTCACAGTCACAGAATGCCACATAAGTGCACCATCACACATGGTGTGTAGTATGTGGCCTTTTGAAGTTTCTAGTCCCCCTACTTTTGGAAGTGGGCTTAGGACTTCCTGTGCAGCTCACACAATCCCTTCTCGAGTTTCCTTCACTAAAATATACAGTCAAGTTTCAGTTCCCTCTCGTGCATCTTGTCAAGCACTTCCTGTGAGAACATCTACCCTTTGGGGAAGTGGTGAGGGGAAAGGGAGAAACAAGGAAGGGGTTTCTACACTTTAACACAGGCTCCCTTGCCAGTTTCTGTGGTCAGGAAGAACTGTCCCATCTCCTGACTTCTCTTTCAGGGGCCTCCTGTTTTTTGCTGCTGGTGAGAATCTTATTTTTGGAGCAGGGCTTTGCCTCTGGCAGGGTTTTCCCCTAAACTCTCCGTCTTAGTCCTCTGGCCTCAAAAGGAGGGTTTCTCTTGTAGCTTCTTTCTTCCTGTGTCTGTCACAGGACCTGGGGCTCATGGGGTGCTGAGTGTGAGCTGGGAGATGTGGGTGGGTGGAAAATAACCCACCCACTAGGCTCACTGTCCTAGCTCAGGGTTGGCTTCTCGCTCTGAAGCACTGCTTCTTTTCTCAGTTCCCTGGTAGTTGCTTCTGTCCAGGGTTTTAGTTAGGGTGGGTGAGACAGACAAGGTAGAAGATGTGCACCCCCTCTTCCTCAGATCTGGGACTCCTACCTTGATATTTAAAATCCCAAAAGAAGGCATTGTTGTTATTTTGTAAACTCAATATATGTTTTGGTTTACCTGTATACTTCCTTTTTTCCTCACCACTCCTCACTGAGGGGAGCAGTGGGCAAGACAGGAGAGGTCTGCCATGTCATGTGGGTCAGCTCCCTGGCTGGGGATCAAACTCATGCACAGTGGCTGCAGATAGTTTCATAGTGCTGAGACTTTATACCTTGTGTCACCTTTTGCATTTCAAACCTTCTTTCAGTTATTTTTAAAAAAGATTTATTTATTTATGTGTACAAGAACTGGGATACAAGTGAGAGGTGGTGGAGGAGGGTGAGAAGATTAACCAGAGACAGAATGGGGAGCAGAACAGGCAGATCAATGAAGTACACTGCTGAGGGGAGCAGCGAGCGGGTCAGGAGAGGTCTGCCACGCCATGTGGGTCACCGCTGGGGCCGGGGGATTGAACTCGTGTGGCAGTGGCTGCAGGCGCTTCATAGTGCTGCTCTTTAACCCATTGTGCTACCAGTGAGGGCCCCCAAAACTTCTTTCAGTTTTTAATTGTCTGGAAATATCTTTTTTTGGCTCCTGTGCTTAAGAATAATTTATCTGGGTTTTAGGTATCACTGGTTTGTTTTTTAAAACCAATTCAGAGATAACTTTACACTGTCTTTTGTCTCATTTCCATTTAGAGATTCTCTACCTATGGCTATTCTGTAGTTTTGCCCACCTTTAATATCTTTTTTTTAAAATCTGTGCTATGTTGCTTTTCTGACTGTGGGTTTCTTTTTATTTACTATGGTTGGATTTTATTTGGCTTCCTGAATCCATGTGGGGAATTCCTAGCCGTTGTTTCATCAAATACTGCTTATTTCCCAGTTTCTCAACTCTCTTTCTGAAGTCTTATTATGCACACGTCAGCCTCTCTTACCCATTTGGGTTTGGCGTTTTCCTTCATACTTTTCATCCGCATTTTGTGGAGCATTCTGACAATATCTTTGACTTTATATTAAGCCTGCCCACTAATTTTATCTCCAGCTGTACTTATTTTGCTGCTTAATTTATCTATGTTTCAAATAATAACTTTTCTTAAGTTTCATTTTATTCCTATATACTTTAGTTTGCTTTATAGATGATATTTTCTTTTTTATTAATTCAGGTCTCTGAGCTATAATTTATATACAGTAAGTTCATCCTTTTTAGATAGTATAGTTCAATGAATTTTGAAAAGGTATGCTGTCATGTAGCCACCATCACACTCAAAATTTACAAGATTTTGATTTCCCTCCAGGGTTTCTTCCTATTCGTTTGCAATGTCTTCTCTTCCCAACCCTGGCTTTGAGCTCTGTTCCAACAATTTGCCTTTTCCAGAATGTCATATACAATGTAGAAAATGCCTTTTGCATTTTACTTTTCACTTAGCAAAATACTTTTGAGATTCATTCACATTATTACATGTGAATATTCAGGCATTCTCTTTTATTCCTCAACAGTAGTGTGACTTTGTATGAATGTACGGCAATTGTTATAACTACTCACTAGCTGATCAGTTGGTAGACAATTATTGTTTTCCACTTTTGGATGTTTGTGATTGAATCATTGTGTGAGAACATGTTTTCATTTCTCTGAGATAAATAACTAGTAGTGGAATTACTGGGCTACATAGTAGTATGTATTTACATTTATTAGAAGCAACCACTTTGAATTCCCATCAGCAATATATGGGAGTTTCAGTTGCTTTTATTCATATCAGCTGTTGGAATAGTAGTGTCTCCCTTGGCTCTGACCTGCGTGTTCTGAGTGAGTAATAATTTTGACCGAATGATACCAGTAGCTGAAACTGTGAACTGTTATGGGTGGTGTCCCCCTTGCTGGTAAAAAAAAAAAAAAAAAAGAGCACCCCAAGAAAATGCTAACAAGTGGGATGGAGCCACAGAAAAAGTATGCAAGGGACTGAAAAAAAAACAGGCCCAGAAAGAGAGAGAATCAGTGAACTATTTGGGCAGAAGGGCCTTGGCAAGTTTAGTGTCCCTGCTACCTTATATCACTTCTTGTCATCACTTGGTGATGTTCAAATCTTTAAAACTGGAATATCTGGTCTTTAAAAACTGGAATTTTATTAATGAGTATCCTTTATGAAATGTGTGTTTGCAAGTATTTTCTCCAATGCTGTAGCCTGTCTCTTTATTTTCCTAACAATATATTTTGAAGAACAAAAACTTAAATATGAAGCTCAGCTTATCAACTTTTTAAAAATTTATACTTATTTATTTATGCATATGAGAACTGGCGTGTAAGCCAGAGATGTGGGGTGTGGGTGAGAGAGAAAGAGGAGGGATTCAACAGAGTCAGGGTGGGGAGCAGAACAGGCCGAGTGACTGAAATACAGTGCTGAGGGGAGCGGCAGGGGAGACAGCAGAGGTCCACTGTGCCACCTGGGCGACCTCCCTGGCTGGGGATTGAACTCATGCTGCAGTGACTGTACATCGCTTCCTAGTGCCGAGACTCCCTGTACCACCAGGGAGTGCCCCCATCCCCAGCTTACCAATTTTTTCTTTCATGGTGTTGAACTTAGAAATCTTTGCCTAAAGCAAGGCCTCAAAAAATTTCTATTTTTTTCTTCTAGAATTCTTATACTATTAAATTTAGCATTAGGTTTGCAGCTATTTGATTTTTTAAACACATTTTAAAATGGAAAGTAAAGGTCAATGTTAATTTTTATTTTTATTGTGTGCAAATGGATATCCAATTATTTAAGCAGCAACTGTTAAAAATAATATACTCTCGGGCCCTCCCTGGTGGCGCAGCGGGTTAAAGCACAGCACTGAGAAGCTAAAGCCACTTCCGCATGAGTTCGATTCCCGCCTGCCCCGGAGGTGAC